TTGACTCGAACATCCACGATTATTAAAAAAAAATAATAATAATAAGATAGTTTTTAAAAACTTATCATTCAGACAACGAAATTAGAACTTGTACCCTCCTATATCACCTCTTTTAAAAATTTTCAAGGCCGCAGTAGTCACCCTATGAGGTGACGGTCGGTCAGAGCAACATTTAAAGCTGGTGGGGGTCCTGAATCGGATGCTATGAAATGGTAAAAAAATTGACGAATGGGACTTTCCATTTAAAGTATACAAATTCTTCAGATTACAGAGGCCAAAAGCACGCCTATTCCCTAGGTAGCTTGATCCAGATTTAACGGGTAATGTTCAACACGTGATTGATTAGTAGTTTCACTATTGACAGAATTCGTATAAAGACATAAATTTGGAGAAATTATTGAGACTATCCGATGTTTTATTCATGTTAGAATCATTTTCTTTTGAACGTGTGTGATTGTTGGGTTTTAACTTCCAAACTTTAGACTTTAGTAAATTCGATTGAACTTTTTTCCTCATTACGAAATGTCAATGTCAATCCAAAACTCATACAAGTACTCGATTTTTTTATTTTTATTTTTATTTTTTTAAATTTGGATCATTACATGCTTAAATCAACCTGAATACATATGATTTTTAACATACATGTTTATTGAAATAAATTGTAATGAAAATTAAACATGGAAAGCCAGCCACTCGAAAGTGTCCAAAACTAGGTGATTAAAAACCCTTTTCATTTTTTTGTCTTTTTACTTTTAATCAATGTATTTAATTTGAACCCATCATATTGTCACTTCATTAGGTAAACAACTACAACTTGTGTACTTGTTTTCTGCATGATTTGTAGATTTCCTTACAAAGTCGAATATTAATATAAGGGTGTGTTTGATTACAAATATAAAATTTGTATGAAAAAAAAATAAATTCAAAATAATTTAATTGCCTAGAACTTATCTGTATGGAAATTGTTAATTTAATATATTTGAATTGATTTAGTTTTCAATTTAGAAATATTATACTTGTCTATTGATGGGTAGATGAGAGAGAGTTGAAAGATAAGTAAGAGAAAGAGATAATGAATTCCCTTAAGAATAAAATTCTACTCTACCTAAAGAAAATACTTTCATTGATTTTGAGAAAAATATGATCACATGACCAAAAGTAGAAAAAAATGTTTTTTATCAAAAAATTGTTAATCAAATAATAAAAAAAGTACGAATTTGGATGGCCCTGACAATGTGGCAAGGTCAGGCCTTGACAATGTAGCAGGGTTCCTATTAAAATGAACATTCATTTCTATTTAGGCTCGTTTGATTGACGGAGTTTTCCAGGGAAATAGAAAAATATTTTCCTACTTTCACTTTT